TATGCCTTCGAGTCAGTCATACATACATACATACATACACACACACATACATACATGTATATGTGTGACACTTTTGAACTTTGGTGTTGGAGAAGATTCCTGAGAATACTCAGGAATACCTGATCAAGCCAAGAAAACAAACGAATGGATCACAGAACAAATCAACTCAGAGTTCTCAAATGAGAAATATCAAATTCATTAAAGAACAGTCGTAAGAACAACTATCAACATAAAGTCAACAAGATCATAATATTGTCATAAAAACTAACATTTTATAACACCAAAGCAGCTGGATTCTGCTTAAAAATCATGAGGATCACTGAAGAGTCTTGCCTTTGTGGACACAAATGACCAGGCTCAAATTATCCTACTTCAGACACATCATTAGCTCACTGGAAAAGGTTCTAATGCTGGGAAAGGTGGAAGGAAAGAGGAGAAGAGGAAGACAACCAGCAGCAAGGTGGATGGACTCAGTTACAGTGATGATGGGTGCCCCGTTGGAAGACATATTGGAAGGACCAGGTCAGGGACAGATCATCATGGAGACAATCTATCTGTGGTCACTAGGAGATGAAAACGACTTGATGGCATATAATCAATCAATCAATGGTATGTATTTATGTATTATTGCACAGAGCTCCCTGATTATTTCATGGCATTGATCTAAAACTACTGTCAAAACGAAATCATGTGTCTGTGACTTCAATGTTCAGGGAACACAACAACTTTCAAAAGGCAGTCTGCATTCAAAATTATGGGCTGTGCTGAAAAGACCACCAATCTGGTGATTCACTATGCCCCCTGCCACAAAGGCAAGACTCTTCAGTGATCCTCATGATTTTTAAGCAGTATCCAGCTGCTTTGGTGTTATAAAATGTTAGTTTTTATGACAATATTATGATCTTGTTGTCTTTATGTTGATAGTTGTTCTTACGACTGTTCTTTGATGAATTTGATATTTTTTGAATTATTGTAATGTATTGTGCGTATTGTTTGTTTTGCTTTAGGCCACTTGGAGTCAGATGACTGAAGTGATGAAAAAGAAAGAAAGAGAAGAAAAAGAAAGAAAATTCACTGCACCTGACATCCATTGATACAAAAGAGACCATAGAAACAATGAATGCTGTGATACTTTTCATGGAGCACCAAGAATCCACACTATATAGTTATTTAAATATTTTTATCTTGCCCTTCTAGCACTTACATATTATTTAGATCCGTTCACAAAATACCAAGTCAGATCAAAGATACTTGAATAAACCCATTACTGTACATTGAATTTGTAAGAGAACCATGGATGCAGTGATCTGCTGCTATGGCACAGATACATGAAGATGAGGACAGATCCACATTAATTCACATAATAAAGGAACATAGATACTTCCCAAACCACCTATAATTAGGTACTATTTCAGATACATGAATTGAATTGTAGACATTATAAATGTGGCATTCTTTGAGCGCTGTGATGCACAAACCCATTTTCAAGAGTCACTTGCTGTTGTATACGACTTTGTCATCTAAAATCAATTGACCTCTGTATTCGTAATATGAACCATTAATGTAACAAACTTGAAATTCTTCGTGCCATAGAACATTGGTAGAGTTATGGCACAGAATCATAAAGTTGGAAGGGACCATTTTGAACATTAAGTCCAACTGCTTGCTCACTACAAGAATACAAATGACAGAAGCCCTGAAAGGGCGGTCTAGCCTCTGCACAGAATCATAGAAATACTAGAAACTTTTATTATTCAAAAGAATAGCCCACTGGTTTTGTAGCTCCTTTTCTGTGAAAGTTCAGGTTTTTTACAAGGTATAAAAACACCCCACACAGGAAGCAGGACATTGGGGAGGGGGGGGGCTTTTTAAAAAACCTTTTGTATCAGTTAGTTGGAGGTCCACTAATTCTTCAGATAACATTTTCAATACTTCAGGTCGATTGTGAACACAACAAATGGGTGCCTTCAAACTGTTTCTGAATATTGGGGAGTGAAAATGGTAATGTGAGAGGACCCTATGAGATACAGATCAACACTGCAGATGACTACACCCCCAAAATGTTGGCCCTAAAAAGTGTACAGTCTGTCATTTACATTTACATTTGTAGCTTACAATTATTGAATGATTGATTAAGCTACCAAGTCAGTGTCAACTCACAGTGACCAGATAGATACATTTTCTTCAGGACAATCTGTCCCCAACCTGGTCCTTCATATCTTTCAATGCTGCACCCATCACCTCTGTAATTCAATTCATCTACCTGGTCATACACTTCTTTTTCCTTCTATCTTTCCAGCATTACACACTTCTCCAGAGAACTATGTCTTCGCATAAAGCATCCAAAGTATGATCATTTGAGCCTGGTCATTTGTGCCTCGAGCGAGAACTTTGGGTTGTTCTGTTCAGTGATCCATTTGTTTGTTTTCTTGGCTATCCAGGGTATTCTCAGGAATCTTCTCCAACACCAAAATTCAAAAGCATCAATACTTTTTTCTATCTTTCTTCTTCAAAGTGAAAGCCCAATTTTCACTTCCATAGAGTATCACAAGGAAAACCATCGCCTGCACAGTTCTGATCTTTGTAGGTATAGACACATCACGGCATCTGAATATCTTTTCCAAGGCCTTCATGGCTGCTCTACCTAGTACTACCCTGCAGCGTATTTCTTGACTTTCAAAGTTTGTTCCTTTACTGTTAATGATTGATCCTCAAAGGCAGAAGCTATCCACAACTTCAATATCTTCATTGTCACTTCTAAAGCTGCTTGCTGTACCTGTCATTAGTTTAGTCTTCTTTATATTTAATCATAGTCCTATTTTTTACTGTGCTCCTTGATTTTCATTACTAGAGTTTACAGATCATTTATATTTTCAGCTATCAAAGCAATGTCATCAGCGTAGCACAGATTATTTATATTTCTTCCTCCAGTTTTAAAACCACAGTCATCTTCTTCCAATCAACTTCCCTCAATATATATTCCACATATGAGTTGAATAAATAAGGGTAGAGTATATACCCTTGTTTCACTCCTTTTCAAAACTTGTCTCATTTTCCCATTATTTGTCTGGACTATGGCTGTTTGACTTGTGTATAGGTTTCACAAGAGGACAATAAGATGTTCTGGGATTCCCATTTTCCTAAGCAAATTCCACAGCTTGACATGAATGACACAGTTGAAGGCCCTTCAATAATCAATGAAGCACATATTGGATTCTTTTTGGTATTCTTTGGCTTTCTCAATTATCCAGCATGTATCAGCAATAACATATGTTGTTATCTGGTGTTTTCTAAAGCCAGATTGAACATCTGGCATCTCCCTTTCCATTTAAGGTTCTAAACTATGTTGGATGATCCTAAGCGTTATTTTGATAGCATGTGAAATTAAGGATATTCTACAATAGATTGCACACTCTGTTAAGTCTCCTTTCTTTGATATTGGTATGTAGATTGATCTCTTCCAGTCTGTTGGCCAGTATGTCATTCTCCAGATTTGCTGGTATCATTTGGTTAGAATCCTTACTAATTCTTCTTCTGTTACTTGACATATTTCTGTAGCTATTACAACAATTCCTGTAGCCTTCTGATTTGGTAATGACCAGAGTGAGATTCTTGTAAATAGGGAATATCTTCCAAGGCATCTTAGATGTTAACATGCCTATTGTACAGAATTTCAATACACTCCTTCTATCTTTGTGTGATCTTCCTTGAATCAGTTAGTATAGTATCCTTTAGCATGCTATTTTGGGGTTGGAACCTCCTGAGT